TCATTCTCATCTATCACCCTTCATTGGTGCTCCGCCAGCGTATCCCGTTAGCGCAGGCGGGGTTACCATACCATTTTCACCCGTGAAAAGAAAAAACTGTTGAACTAAGTACAAATATTTTTAAATAAATATATAATTAATTCCTCTTTTTTTTTATACACTCTATTAAAAAAAATATTAAATCAAATTTTACATTTTTATCAGTGGGTTCTTTTTGGTATCCCTGAACCCTTGTATAGTTTATTTATAATTGTTGAAACTTAATACTTAAATATATTAATTTTGTTTAAAAAGCCTATGTTCAGCAGTGGACGTGAGTTTTGTTAATTTTAAATTAAACTAAACACTATTATTTGTAAAAGTATATAGTTCAGTCGACAACAGAGATATATCTGTTCAATGATAAATTCTGAAATAAATACTCGTAGTGTCAAAGTTCAGTGGCTGAAATTAAAAGACGATGAATGTGTTAAAAAATGTATTTTTTTTATACAACTTAGAATGGCAAACAAGCTGACGGCCCACCTGATGGAAAGTGGTAACCGTCGCCTATAGACATAACAGAGAGTACACTGTTTCGCCCATCGCCCATTCGACGAGGGGAAAATCTTGCATAGAAACCTGTCCAATTCTACCTTTTTCTGTCGATTCAATCTATTTTCAGGTACTTAGCGACTTAAAACATCTTGTCAGACCTTCAACAACTTAAATTCTAAACAAGGGTCATTGCTTAGGTTCTATACTATACGGATATATTTAAATCGATTATACTATTGCTACTATTATTTATATATTTATTTAACCAAAAACATAAAAACAATGACGTATGAACAATTCAAGTAAAATACAGTAGCATAAAGTGCAGATTAAAATAAACATATAAACGTTTTTTTTATACAACTTAGAATGACAAGCAAGCTGACGGCCCACCTGATGGAAAGTGGTAACCGTCGTCTATAGACATGAGCAGTACCATAGACATAACAGAGTATACTGTTTCGCCCATGATACCAAGCCCATGCGTTGTCATTCCTGAGGACTCGGGCGTTATTCCCGTGTACCCAGTAAATTCACGCCATATCCCAAAAAATATAATTTTTATACAATCGTTTAAAATGTGATTTTTATAACGTGTAGCAACATACTATATCTAGAACTAACAAAAAATTTTTCATCGTGCTGGGAGGCCAAATTGTTTATAATTACTCCTCTCCATCCAAAGGTTGTCTGGAAGAGATCGCTCTTAGCGATAAGGTCGCCCATTGTTTTCTCATTGTGATTATTTCTTGTAATTATTTATATTTATAATAAGTTTACTATTGTAATCTTTTGGAGGAAACAATAAAGAGTATCTATCTATCTGTATATAGGTAATAAGCATACTTCGTAAAAAGGTTCGATAGATTCAGTAATAAAAAATAAATCACGTCGACTATAAAAATACCGATCAAAATAACTTCAGAATTAGATGAAGCTACACATTGTCTAACAAAGTATTGTATTAAGTGCGAGATCGTGCAATATATATAGAAAATATCGGTAATGTGAGAGCGTTCCCTTAGAGGTCGCTCGCTTCAAAACAAATTATTGTCTTTAAGCCGTCTCAGAGCGTCTCTTATAAATTTCAAGTTACCGAGTTATATGTAATAAAGCTCGTGCAAGTTCAACGACCTCGTCTATATACTTACCTAAAGTTTGCTTTTCCACTCGGTTTTGAATGAACAAGTTAGCAAACACATGGAGTTTTAACTCACAATTCATATAATAATGAAGTAGGTGTCTACGTACCTACCGACGAGCGGTATTGTACTACCCACTAGAAGACTAAGTTACGAAATTGGTTTAAGATTAGGACATGATTTGGATGTTTCTTAATATTAAGCAAGTCTTACTTATTGTTTTTATTTCTTTATTTCTTTATTGTACACACTAGTTATAAGAATATACCAGAGAGAGACTTTGTACAAAAGTCGATTGCTTGGGTACCTCTGTCTTATTCGTGTTTCAACCGTGAAGCAGTTGTGTTTGCATGGCTGTGTTTCGGTTTGAAGGGTGGGATATGCCAGTGAATTTACTGGGTACAGAGGAATAAAACTTGAGTCCTCAGTAATGGCATCGCATGAGGGGTATCATGGGCGAAACAGTATACTCTGTTATGTCCATGGTACTGCTCATATCTATAGGCGACGGTTACCACTTTCCATCAGGTGGGCCGTCAGATTGTTTGCCATTCTAAGTTGTATAGAAAAAAAGTCATTTTTTATGAAGCAAATGTTATACCTATTCATAATTCCGTTGAAAATGAAAAAAAAAAATGTTAAGTAAGCTTATCATAGATGTCCGCGCCCTCAATACCGAGATATGAAAGTCGTGACCTACTTCGCTAGTCCATTTTGTGATTGGTCGACAGTAGAGCGACTGCACACCCAGTGGTCTCCGGAAGGTCTCTGGCGTGACAGACGACCCCACGGGGCAATATCCGGTGAGCTCCCGACAAATTGTCCCCGTCGCTTTATGCGCGTAAGTGGTGCTGAATTGAGAAATAGCTTCTTTTGTGTTTACCGAAATTTGAATTATATATTTTTTTTTATATTTAGCCTTACAAGTTAATAAATGCTTGTAGACATGAGTAGTAGCTCTTGTATTTCTATAAATAATGTGTTTTTCCTGATGTATTACAGTTTGTAATGAATGGGACATCATACTGTAGTCTAATTGTATGTTCTTATCATTATTCTTATATATAATATTAATAACTACGCATATAGTGGCGACCTTTAATTGAGGCAACATTTTATAATGTAACCATATTATCATGTATTTTAAGTTGCTATAAATATATACTTTGGTGGATGACCTTAAATATATATATTCTTTATTGCACTAAAACATACAGTAACAACAATAAGTTAATGTTATCAAGTAGGCGAACTTATCTCTAAAAGAGATTTCTTGTCATTACCTAACACAGTGGCATAGGAAGTAGTTTAACCAATATTATTATGTATTTTAAGTTAATATAAATATATACTTTGTCATAAATTATAAATTATATATATATATATATATATATATATATATATATATATATATATGTATATATGTTAAATACAACATATAAATATCAAATAAAAGAGAACACAATGATGACAATAAATAAAATTAACGGAGTTAAGAGATGGGATGCTTTTTATACCTATATGAAAAAATTTATCCAAAGGTGGTAAGGAGCAAAAGGATTGTCGGGTCAGCTAGTGATACTATAAAAGTGGTACACTGTATGTACGGTGGCAAAATAATTTGGAAATAGTACCGCCCTTATCGGAACATGTGCAGGCTCTTCAAAATGTAATCCCCCGGGGTATTGCTCCTATATTAACTGCTATAACCAGACATCTACAAGACGTCATCCCAATCATGAAATGCCGACTTTCTATAAAATATCTTATTTCTTTTACGTTTCTTTCATACTTAATATGTAAATATGTTGACATTTATATAATATGACGATATATATAAGTTAAATAGTAGTAACATAGCATAGTAGCACTATTAAATAAATATTGTATGCCAGATTCAGGTAAAAATTGTGAATAATATTTAAATATTATGTACCATCCTTTACACCACTTTTCAAACAAAATAAAGATATTGTATTGTATTGTAAAATCTTTATTGTACATAATTCACATGGGATACATTATAGTACATTACTGCAGTGGCCAGCAACTGAGGCATTGATGGACGAACGTGCAAATGTGGGCCGAGGCGTAGCCGAGGCACACAATCGTGAGACCATCAATGCCTAGTTGTGGCCAAGACTTGTATAGTATTTTTCTCAAACAATGCGCGGAAATCAAAAACACAATTTTACTTTTTAAGTTCAATGACTACTAACGAACAATAATAATTTTTCACGCGCCATAATGTTCCTTTGTTTATTTTTCAATAAACAGCTTTCTATTTGCAAGCCAGTTCGAAATTTAAATAAAACCTTTTATTAGTTACCTCCTTGGTAGCCATGTTTCGAAGTAAAAGGTCAGTCCATTTTTAAATTACAGGACAGATATGAGTTTACATAGTAATTTATCTGGCCGCAAAACGCGACAGATATGGATTTTCATACAACTTTTGCCGGCCGCTGCCCACATTGTTTCTGGCCAGTACAGCAATTTTGGTTTTTCTCTAAGAAGATTGTTAAAAGTAATGCTTACTTTTCAAGCATGTTTGAGAAAAATGGTTTAATTTACAATGGCGGACTTATCCCATAAAGAGATCTCTTACAGTCAACCTTTGAGAAGCTGAAAGAAAACTGTAAAATGTACAAGGGTAATGATATTTGTATTTGTATACATACAAGATGGAGTAGAGAACATTAGCTTTATTTTTAAAAAGGTATTCTGCCAGTAAATTTAAACGTATTCCATAAAGAAATATGCATCAGAAAAGGACGAGAAATTTAAGGCTTCCCATTCTAACTTGACAGTGCCGTGATAGTATGGGGGTTTATTTATATCAAGTAGATTTAGTTCCATAAAAAGGAAACACCAACATGAATCGTGGCGAAACTAGTAATTTTTTAATTTAAATTTTAAACTAAATTACCAAATTAATTTTTATGGAATTTCTATCAGCCCATTCTGAAGGTATAACCTTTCAGATAAACAAAAAAATTCAATCGTTTTGTAAATGACGAAGTTCTGAGGCAACGAACATAAAATAATATAACTACTAAGGAAAACTGCATTTTCAATCGTCTCAAAATTAATACAAGACCAATAGGAAGTAAACATTGTTAATTTTAAAGAGAAAACGAGCCAGCGTTGCGAAGTTGACGCAAAAAAATACACAGAATTTGAAAATCACGTTTTGAAAGTCACTTAATATATAGCTGTATAATTATTAGAAAATAAAATCTTTTACGATAGACTCATAAAAAAAATACTGTTTAAAAATGCTTATACCGTTTGCTTTAATTAAATTTATTATTATTCTTTCAGGGCATATTCCGGTTGGCGTGCGAGCACGTGCTGCGCACGATGCGTAGAGGCCGCGAGACCCTGCTGACGCTGCTGGAGGCGTTCGTGTACGACCCCCTGGTGGAGTGGGGCGCGGCCGGCGTGGGCGCCGGCGCCGGCGGCGGCAAGAGGCGGCGCACGCAGCGCGACATACGCGCCGCCCTCGACATGCTCGCTGTACGCGCGCAAGAACTCAAGCACCAAGTCGCCGACTTGAAGTAAGTGTATTGTTGGCATTATCATTGTCATATCAGCCGATAATTGTTCATACCTGAACATAGGCTTCCATAATTTTACCAGAGGGAGACTTTGTACAAAAGTCGTTCGCTTGGACACCTCTGTCCCATTCGTGTTACTACCGTGAAGCAGTTGTTTGCATTGCTGTGTTACGGTTTGAAGGGTATCCCACCCTTCAGACCGTGGCAGTGAATTTACAGGGTACAGAGGAATAACACCTGAGTCCTCAGAAATGGCAACGCGTTTCCATGGTACTACTCATGTCTATTGGCGACTGTTATCACTTTCCATCAGGTAGGGGTCGTCAGCTTGTTTGCCATTCTAATTTGCATAAAAAATCCACTCCTGAACATAGGCCTTCGACATAAGCTGCCAAAAAACGGTCCCGAGCCAAAAGACTGTGGGCCATTTCTTTCTAGTATTTGCCTAGTATGGGGAGATTTTGCCTGTAAATGCTAAGCTTGGCGGGTTGGCAACTGCATTTGGGCTTTAGTAATATTGCTGGCCATTCCTCGATCATTAAGTATTCTTATAAGTTATATGTATGGCCCCAAAAATTTATAATAAAATTCCAGATGTATATAAAAATTTAAACACAAACTTATTCCGGAAAAAACTGAAAATGCTACTGATTGACAAATGTTATTATAATATTGACGAATTTTTAAATGACAACCTTTAATATGTTTCTCTTTCGACATTTGCTATTGACATTGTAATTCCATTTGACTTTTTATTTAGTTTATATCTATTCTTCACAAAATATTAATATGTTTTGTAAGGCAGGGATAGATAGGGGGCATGGATTTGCTTTGTAAGGCACTTGAAATTGCCACTGTCCTTGAAATAATATTTTGCACGCTAATGTTAGCAAAACATGTTAGGACTATACAAATCCTACAATGAACAACAAGTATGTCTTTGCACTTACTATGTACACATGTTTGCAAATAAATTTATCTTTATCTTTATCTTTAGTCATCTCTTACGACACCCACGAGAAACAAAGAGGTGACCTGCTCTATCCAGGACCATGTCGCAACATAAGTGACATTATAATAAAGAACAATTCCATTTATTCTATTAGATTTACTCTATTTACCTAATTTTTAAGGTTTCGTATCTCCAAGAGAAAAGACGGAACTCTTATAGGATTCGTTGTCCGTTCCTACGTCCGTATGTCAAGACCCTTTTTCTTAGAAATACGTGAATTCGTAGCGTTAAAGCTACGAGTTACAGTAGGTTTCTAATATACCGATTTTAATAGCTTTATGCGCGAAATATATTAGTAAATAAGCTGATGGTCATGAACAAGCGGATTTATATAGAAATGACACAAGGAACATTCAATCGTATGGCTGTGGCCCTGATGTATCCCGACAAAAACGTTTTTTTTATACAACTTAGAATGGCAAACAAGCTGACGGCCCACCTGATGGAAAGTGGTAACCATCGCCTATAGACATGAGCAGTACCATGGACATAACAGAGTATACTGTTTCGCACTTGATACCCCCTATGCGTTGCCATTCCTGAGGACTCGAGTGTTATTCCTCTGTACCCAGTAAATTCACGCCATATCCTACCCTTCAAATGGAAACACAGCCATACAAACACAACTGCTTCACGATTGAAACACGAATAGGACAGAGGTACCCAAGCAATCGACTTTTGTACAAAGTCTCCCTCTGGTGTTGTATGTAATGTAATGTTTCGATGTTTCCGCAATAACCTTTTTTTTTATATTAATTGTATTCAATAAATTACTTATTCTTATATTATTAACATGACCACTATATCTTCACACATTGTTAATCCTATACTGTTAATACGATGTTTGTGCACATAAAATTATTTCTACGAGATGGTTCTATTTTGAGCATAAAATGAATTAGTTATTCATAATTTATGCCGCTAATATGAGAGATTATAATTGTTAATGCCTCTCTAAAAGCCACTGCGAATTAACACGGCGTACTTCCTGTTTAACCGCCCTGAATTATTGAACACTTATGTTTCACGTTAACTCATAAATTATTCATATCCTGGCCGCAATAACGCTGTTGTTGTTTTTTGTTTCAGCTCCCAATTTTTGGCCGTACTCCCCGAGGTGAAGGAAAGCGCCGAGAACTGGCTTAAGGAGCACGACGAATTAGAAGCAGTCGAAACGAGACTACAGGAGTGTCATCAGCAGATGGCATTAATCAAAGAGATAGAAGCCTATGGCCCAAATTTAAATAATCACCCACTTTACGCCATCTCTCAGAAATATACCTCGTATAAGAAAGCCAAAAATGCTGTCGAAGATTCGATGAAAGCTCTTGTAAAAATACTCAAAGATTTCGACACCCAAATCGAGACGTTTGCCGAAACAAATGAAGTCATAAACGGACCGCAGTTGATGGCATGGGTCCAAGAGTTTTCAGGAACGAAAGAGGACGAAAACAAACCGATATTTGACCACATCAAAGAATTCTTAACAAATGCCGGTCAAAGTTCCATGATATCACAATGTGAACAAGCCGAAACAGAACTGAACCAGAGCATTCAACAGACACATCACCTCGTCAGGTCGTGTCTGGAACTGCTGTCGCAATATGTCGCAGTCTCCCAGTATTATCCTCAGAGCCAAACGGAATATCACCGCGTAGTAATGTTCAGAAAATTTTTGGCCACTGCTTTAGAAAGCAAATCGCCTGAAGTTTGCAGGGAGGTTTCTAATCAAATGAATGCCTTACTGGCGGATTCTAATAATACTGACTCGTCACAAATTACAGCCTATAATTTCCGCTTGCAAACTATACATGCTGAAGCCAGCGCGAATCTTAATAAAGCAGTTGAGAGATTGCAGGCGGAAGGTGGTCCCGATGCGCTTGTTTTGGCTCAAGAGGCTTATATGGAAGCGAAGGCCAATATCAGTAACTGGGTGAGGACTGAGGATGGAGCTGCCGCTGCATTGGAGTGTGTCGTTATAGGAATGTTGTGCAATTTGAATAGGAGGTATTTGATGTTAGAGAATGGTGCACAAAGCGCAGGCGACTGCCTCGTTGATTTGACCTCCAGAGAGGGGGAGTGGTTTTTGGATGACATGAGCGCGCTCTCCATGCAGTCAGTGGAGTTACTATCATTACTGCCTTTACAGTCGGCATCTGCGGAAGACACCACTTTACCAATCGCGGTGGAATGTGTTCGCAACGCTAATCTTCTGCTAGCTGACTTGGTTCAATTAAATTATAACTTCAGTACCATAATTTTGCCTGAAGCGCTCAAGAAAGTGCATTCCGAAGATCCGTCAGCGCTTCTAATGATTACTGAGCTGAACACCGTAATAATGAATACCCCTGTGCCTCTAAATGATCTACTGGCACAGTTGGAAATGCATTTGAGATATCTCGTCATGGATATGGAGGTAACTTTATTGTTTCATTATATATATTTAAAATGTGTGATTTAATATGTTTCTAATCGTTTCATTCAAAGCAAATTAATAATCATAATATAGCAAAACTTATTGTAATTGTAAATTTAACTCTTACAATAAGATAGTAATAGATTGCTTGTTTTAGTCTCCAGCAAACGGAGCGCAACTGTTAGCAGCGGAGCTTCGCTCCCGCTACGAAGCCCTTCTCTCTGCGTCCACGCCTGACAGCGAAGGCCAGTCTGCGGGGCGAATGCTGCTGATGGGTTTTAACGGACTATTCGCGGCCGTGGAATTAAGGGCGAGAGAGTTGGCCGACCATATCGCCGTGCCAACACCGCCCGCTTGGAGAAAGATCGATCATATAAACGAAGCCATGCACATGTCGGTATGTATTATTTTTTAAATTTACGAGTATATTAAGTAAGTATGGAATTGGCCAATTTTTTTAATGGTATCTAGAGTGTTTATACATGTATGTGTGTAACAGGAATTTTAAGACCTTGCTATATTTCTCGTTACGCGTTCGAGACGAAACCCAATCGAAACAATTATCGGAAACGACAAACATTGTGAATTAATAAAATTCCTGTTACCCATATCAGTATATATTTTTTTCTATATCTTGTCTGAAAATGAAGTACTAAAAACATAATTGGATTGTATAAAGACGATGAATGTTCGTGGTGTGATAAATGTGTGAGTTACATAACGGGAAGAAGTTATGCAGTAAGGTTTAAAGATGACATTTTTTGATCATTAATCAGTGCCCATGATTTTGGTACTTTTGAAGCGAAGTTATGGAGAATAAATGTTTTCTGTTCTCTTATGTGTAATAATTTGTCTCGTGCAGGCTGCCCTCCAAAGCCCCGTGCTGCGCTCGGTGCTCGAAGACATATTCCTGGTGCGTCGCATACAGACGGTGGCGGAGGTGTTCGCGATGTGCGTGAACATGGCGCGCGCGTTCAATGGCGTCGGCCCGCTCACCTTGTACGATGACGCCGCACTGTGCAAACCTGTCAGAAGGTCTGTGACCTGTAATTGTTTCAGTATTTTTTTTAATGGGTGATAATGGAATGGTAACCCCACCCGCGCTATCGGTATACACCGGCGGGGCACCAGTGAACGATGATAGGCGAGAATGAAACAGGTCAGTTATCCCATCGTGACGAAATCAAGAATTATTCACGATGGTTTTCAGGGGGAACCACGTAGAAGTCGACCTGATAGGGCATATTGCTAGCAATGGGGCTGTCAAACTACATTGCTAACAATCCCTTTCCCTCCCAAATGGAATGGTATAATATGGCCTGCGCCATAGGTATACACTGGCGGGGCACCAGTGTGGGATGACAGGTGAGGATGAAAAACCAGGTGAGTTAGCCTATCGTGATGGATCCACTTGGAATACAACACGATAGTTTCCTGGGGGAACTGCGAGGAGATCGACGTGACAGGGTACATTGTTAACAATGGGGCAGCATTGGAGCTATTAGACCTGATTCGTACCTTATGATTAGGTTCACGGCGGAGTACGTGCTGCGCGGCGTGGTGGGCGTGCACTCGAAGGCGCTGGCGTGCGTGGTGTGCGGCCTGCTGCGCCGCGCCCGCCTCGACCTGCACGCTGAGGTCGAGCAGAAGGAGATCGGTACGCATACAACTTCTATCGTATACAACCAGTCATAAAATAAAAACTCACAATCATATGGTCGTCTTCTTTCTTCTTATGCTAATATAATTAGTAAAAAGAGATTCATATCAGGGCTAGTGTATTGAAAATGTTTGATATGTCAATTGTTTGTCAATGACAAATTTTACATTACTAGATTATATATTCGACGCAGTTTATGTAGACAGTATGCAAGCAGGTTGTATCTTAATTTCGTAGGGTTTCTTTTAAAAGATTTCGCGCCATTTTTTATAGTGTTGCTAGTATAAAAAAAAATCTCACAATTAAATTGAAATTTCCGAAATTAGTTGAATTTTTTTTTAAAAAGTATTGCTTTTCATTATTATTGTCACTTTCATTCATTCTAATACTAATGCATGTTTTAAGTCTACAAAAATTCGGAGATATTTGTATTCAAATTAATCATTTTCAACTTGTTCGTCCAGCCGACTCTATAAAAGACGTTTCACCATTTTAAATGTATCACAAGAATAAGAATTCCAGTATTGAGTGAGTGGTTCTCGTGTGTTACGTTAACACTGAGGAATAATGGACACTTGACATTCAGAGTGATACTAAGTGTCTAGTGTCTGAGTTTAAAGTGTCTGAGTGTCTAGTGTCTGTACGTCTGAGTGTCTAGTATCTGAGTGTCTAGAGACTGTGTGTTTGAGCGTTTACTGTCCGAGTGTCAAGTGCCTGAGAGTCTAGTATCTGAGTGTCTAGACACTGTGTGTCAAACTGTCTAGTGTCTGAGTGTCAAGTGTCTGAGTGTCAAGTGTCTGAGTGTCAAGTGTCTGAGAGTCTAGTGTCTGAATGACTAGTGTCTGTGTGTCTGAGAGTCTCGTGTCTGAGTGTCTAGTGTCTTAATGTCTAGTGTCTGAGTGTCTAGTGTCCGAGTGTCTAGTGTCCGAGTGTCTAATGTCCGAGTGTCTAGAGTCTGAGATTCTAGGTGTTCGAGTATCTGAGTGTCTAGTGTCTGAGTGTCTAGTGTCTGTGTGTCTGACAGTCAAGTGTCTGAAAGTCTAGTGTCCGAGTGTCTAGTGTCTGAGTATCTAGTGTCTGTGTGTCTGAGTGTCAAATGTCTGAGAGTCTAGTGTCCGAGTGTCTAGTGTCCGAGTGTCTAGTGTCCGAGTGTGTCCGAGTGTCTAATGTCTGAGTGTCTGAGTGTCTGAGTGTCTGAGTGTCCGAGTGTCTAGTGTCCGAGTGTCTAGTGTCTGAGTGTCTAGTGTCTGTGTGTCTGAGTGTCAAATGTCTGAGAGTCTAGTGTCCGAGTGTCTAGTGTCCGAGTGTCTAGTGTCCGAGTGTCTAGTGTCCGAGTGTCTAGTGTCCGAGTGTCTAGTGTCCGAGTGTCTAGCGTCCGAGTGTCTAGCGTCCGAGTGTCTAGCGTCCGAGTGTCTAGTGTCCGAGTGTCTAGTGTCAGAGTGTCTAGTATCTAAGTGTATAGAGACTATGTGTCTGAGTGTCTAGCGCGTGTCTAGTGTCCGAGTGTCTGCGTGTCAGAGTGTCTAGTGTCTAAGTGTATAGAGACTATGTGTCTGAGTGTCTAGTGTCTGCGTGTCTGTTGTCTGCGTGTCTGCGTGTCTGGTGTCTGTGTGTTGGAGTGTCTAGTGTCAATGTGTCTGAGTGTCTAGTGTTTTGAAGTCTATTATAAACGAAGCGACCTCATTGTGACGAATTTATCAAAAATTTTCTACAATAACATCCAGGTAATAAAAGAGCTTTTATTTTTTGATGCCGCGCAATGTATTTGAAATTTTACAATCTACATGACGCGGGATATTTATAGTGTGCGGTCAGGGACGCTTCTTCGTAGGTAGTTTTTGTACGCTTGTGATGTTCATCTTATATAGCTGATTATGTACATCGTGGTAGGATTTTTTACGAAAATTACATAGCTGTTTTATTGGTATTTCATAGTATTTCACAATGAAATATTAGTACTTTTTATACTATGTCACAATACGATCACACAATACAATACAATGATCACACGATTTTAAATGAAAAAATTTGTAAACAATTTGAAATTTTCGGAAAAGAATTTTTACTGAATTTGAGTTGAGAACAATGATCTGAATTCACTGTTTCAGTTTTTGCCAGTCTGTCCCCTATACACGGTGTATAATCGTTTCCGCTCAGGCGCGTCGTGGAGCGTGCCGCTGGAGGCGCTGTGCGAGAAGGCGCGCGCGCTGCGGGCTGGTGCCGGCGGGGCGGGCGCGGGGGGCGCGGGTGGCGCGGGGGGCGCGGCGGGCGGCGAGCGCGGCGCCGTGCTGGCGGGCGCGGTGCGCGCGGCGCGTGCGCAGCTGGAGCGCGCGGCGCGTGCCGTGCGCGAGCACGCGCGCGCCGCCGCCGCCGCGCACGCCGCGCGCCACCGCGCCGCCGCGCACCACCACCTGCACGCCGAGGTCAGTCTGAGCAATACACTCGCCGTGCTGGCGGGCGCGCGCGTGCGCGCGCGCGGCGCGTGCCGTGCGCGAGCACGCGCGCGCCGCCGCCGCCGCGCACGCCGCGCGCCACCGCGCCGCCGCGCACCACCACCTGCACGCCGAGGTCAGTCTGAGCAATACACTCGCCGTGCTGGCGGGCGCGGTGCGCGCGGCGCGTGCGCAGCTGGAGCGCGCGGCGCGTGCCGTGCGCGAGCACGCGCGCGCCGCCGCCGCCGCGCACGCCGCGCGCCACCGCGCCGCCGCGCACCACCACCTGCACGCCGAGGTCAGTCTGAGCAATACACTCGCCGTGCTGGCGGGCGCGGTGCGCGCGGCGCGTGCCGCGTAGTCTATTCTGTTTCATTTCTGTGAATGTTGAGTACAACTATAATTGGACTGCAAACTTATAATGCTAACATATTGTTGTATTCTATTGTTAAAAATTTTATTTGTAATCTGTTGTTGTACACAAAAATAAAAAATAAGTAAATAAAGTGATATTTTTTGAAAGTTTATAAATATGAGTACTCGTTGGCGACAGGTGCTGCAGGGCGCAGGCGGCGCAGGCGGCGCGAGCAGCGGCGGCTGCGGCGAGGCGGCGGCGCTGCTGTGGCGGCGCGCGCGCGAGCTGCTGGCCGCCGCCGACGAGCTGGCCGCCGCGCGAGCTCGTGCACACGGCCTCGTCGGGGCTGCGCTGCAAAGGTTTATTACACTGCATTCACTGCTCATTACCACTTTGCGTATCGCTGACATGTTTCGATATAGTTGGATGCTGTAATTGGTATACGTGGGTGGGATATCACTCAGAAATGATAGATCAGCATGAAAGTAAGTCAATTGGGTCATAGTGACTAATTTGCCGCTAGGACGTTGTCTGGTCGATAGATTCGTATTGTGTGCAAAAAAATTTTTAGCATGTGGTTCCTACATAAAATGGATTACTCCTTTTTTCTTCGCGGGTGTCGTAAAAGGTAACTAAAGAAATTCAATGGTCATGGGATAGGTAGTAGCGTTCATCTAAACATTAAACATCATCAAATTTATTGATTCGTGCTTGTTGTCATGTCGTAATAATTTGAAGTAAAATTACGAAATGATCTGATCTGGGCGTCGATTACGGCGCCATCTAGTATGTCGTGTTGAGTATTGCGTGTTGCGTGTTGCGTGTTGCGTGTTGTGCGTTGTGTTAATGTGTCGGTGGGCGGTTGCAGGGTGAAGTGGGGCGCGGGCGCGAACCCCGCGCTGCGCGGCGTCCAGCGGGCGCTGGAGGCGGCGTGGGCGGCGCGGGCGGCGCGCGCCGACAGCGTGCGCGGCGCCGCGCGCTCGCTGGCCGCGCACGCGCGCGCCGCCGCCCCGCAGCGCGCCCGCGCCGCCGCGCGCACCGCGCACACCGCGCGCACGGCGCTGCAGCACTGGCACAAGGTGAGGCGGCACTGGCACACGGTGAGGCGGCACTGGCACAAGGTGAGGCGGCACTGGCACAAGGTGAGGCGGCACTGGCACAAGGTGAGGCAACACTGGCACAAGGTGAGGCGGCACTGGCACAAGGTGAGGCAACACTGGCACAAGGTGAGGCGGCACTGGCACACGGTGAGGCGGCATTGGCACAAGAGCGGCGCCTGCAACGGCTGACACGCTGCATGGAGTATGTGGTCAACACCCTCATCGACATCCTCGGACAACTGCTGCTCACCTCGTCGACTCTCTTAGCGAATAAGTACCTCCTAGAACAGTCATATCCAGTCATGGTCTAAAACCATTTTTTATAAGTCTACCTTTATTTATTTTCATTAAAAAATTTAACAATACCATATTAACTTATATTTCAATACACCTTATATTTCAAAAATCTAACACTTATATGTACATATAAAAACCAATATTAAATATCATTTACAGGCATGCACGCTGGCTCAGAAATATTCACTTAACGTGTCCCCGGTAGAAGAATCATTGATGGAAATGCTGCATCCGGAAGGAAACATCGATACGCAGTGGGTAAGTAGAGCCTTCGCCATACTGCTATTCCTACTCTGAATAAATGAAATTTCATGATCCGGCTCGAAGGACCAATTTAATAGGAATTCAGAATAGTGTCGTTTAATAAAATTTTGTTCTGATTTTTAGTTGAAATTTAAAATAAAAGAAAATTGAATAATTTTGTTGTCATGTGGCCTGATAACTAAGATTTTTAGGTACTAAAATCCTATGGTATTTACTTATTTGCGAACAACAAATAACAAATCTTGTTTATGCTCTTTTTTAGCTTATCAATAAGATAACAAATACTCTAAATTCTCTTATGATGTAGTAAATTTATAAACAATACCCAAAGAATATTGTTTATGAAGCAAACTGTCAGCCGCCACTGAAATGATATTTAAAATTTGAAGTTTTTTTTTTATTATTTATTGGTAAAACAATACACGTGCACGGCAGGTGGAGAACGTGTCGGCGCTGGTGCGCGACATGTCGTCGCAGCTGGCGAGCGAGGCGGCGGCGCGGCGCGGGCGGGCGCGCGCGGCACAAGATCGGCGCCGCGCCGCCGCCGCGCGCCTCGCCGCCGGCGCCGCGCCGCTCGCCGCGCGCGCGCTGCTGCACGCCGAGGTGCGCGTCTCGCTGCACGCCCTGGCACCCGCTAACAATGTACGTGAATTTTTATATTTTCCATTTGTGCCCCGTTTCCTCCTGTTATTGAATTTTGGTACCTATCCCAGAATGATAAGGTCGTATAGTGATTATATTAATCACTCTGTTTATTCTCCCATTAACAAATATCAAAAAACTCACCATCCGACCGTTTAACCCATTATTCTCTTGTAACCTACATTTTCCATCTAACATAACATATAATGATGATGATGATGATGATGATGATGATGTTGAAACTCAATGTAAACTTATAATAATCATACTAAAAGCCAATACTTTGAATGTATCTTTAAATCAAATGATGTATTTTAATATAATGAATTTATAACACTGGTTTTGCAGGGCAACAACCCGGCGAGCTCGTACATATCCCGCGAGGCGGCGGTGACGGCCCAGCTGTCGCAGCTGGCGAGCTGTCGTCCCGACCGCGCCAGTGTACTCGCGGCCGCCACCGCCGCCGCCCACCTGCTGCAGGAAATACCTGCGCTGCACGAAGCGCTGCTGCAGTCAGTATCTACTTAAGTCGCTAAGAAATAAATACATGCGAGTGATTTGCATAAGTTTCCTTTAGCTTACAATGGAGTAATTCTATTATTACATCAACCCAAAATTCGGATTTTTTTTTTTAAATTATACAACTTAATATGAGGGTAAGTATACATTTAATTTATAAATCTGATTTACTGAATCAATCATGTGACCACATGAAACAAGTTTCCTACAAATATATTCTATCATGTCACTAGATTATTTTTGATAAAAAAATTATAGTGACATGTTTAAAAAAAAAAAAAAAGCTTTAGTAATAGAGAATACTTTGTAGTAAATATTAACGTTAATTGGAGTTATTGAATTACTGCGCAGGCTACCGGCGGCGTGGGAAGCGCAGACCAGCGGCGCGGCGCGGCAACCCGTGCGGCCGCCGCCCGCGCAGCGACCAGGTACGTGTATACTGCACAATACTTCTAAAATATTTATATCAAGTTCTGTACGCATTAAAGTAAATAGTGCTTTGTTGATTTTACGCCCGCTTCCCATAACCCACCAAAATTTGGTCTGTATGCGGATAGGAAATAAAATTGCATACTGTTGTCAAAGATTCAGCAATTTCTTTAAATTCCAACCAAACACCCTTGCAGTTTATTACTTCTTGGAACTTAACGAGTTATTTCCCTGATCACTTCATAAATGGGAGCACTTCACTCTTCTAGTAATAGCATGTTTCGTAAGTCGATGAATCATTGTACCGTCAAATCTCGCAAGATGTGTAATTAAAAAAATATATGTTAAATAAGTGAACGTTCTGAGAGCCATAATAATATTTTCTCAAACATGCTTAGAAATGTGAGCATTATTTTGACAATCTTCTTCGAGATAAATCAAAATTGCCGTACTGGCCAAGATACATGCGGGCAGCGGCCGGCAAAAGTTGTATGAAAATCCATATCTGTCGTGTTTTGCGGCTAGACAAATTACTATGTAAACTCATATCTGTCCTGTAATTTAAAAATGGAATGACCTTTTACTTGGAAACATGACTACCAAGGAGGTAACTAATAAAAGGTTTTATTTAAATTTCGAACTGGCTTGCAAATAGAAAGCTGTTTATTGAAAAAAAAAATCAAAGGAACATTATGATGCGTGAAAAATTATTATTGTTCACTATTCGTCATTGAATTTAAAAAGTAAAATTGTGTTTTTGATTTCCGCGCATTGTTTGAGAAAAGTACTATACAAGCCTTGGCCACAACTAGGCATCCATGGACTCACGTATATGTGCCTCGATTACACCTCGGCCCACATTTGCACGTTCGTCCATCAATGCTTCAGTTGCTGGCCGCTGCAGTAATGTACTATTTAACAATTGTCATTGAAATAGTAGTGATATGTATGCCGTGTACACGCAGGCGGGGAGCGTAACGCGCAGGGCGCGGGCGTGTGGAAGCGAGTGCGGCTCAAGCTGGAGGGCCGCGACCCCGAGCCCGCGCGCCGCCTGCCCGTCAGCGACCAGGTGAGCACACACGCTACCACATGTCCTGGCTACACCAATACAGGCTGTTTACCCGTCAATTGCAACCATTACTCAACATGACCATGTCCTACTTCTGAAAACATTACTTGTATTCATCATCATTTTTGCCAGTGTGTTAGTAAAACTCCTGGAATATCCTCTCGTAGCTCGCTGAGCGAATTTAAGCTTCCTCAGACAACGAGCCTACATGTGGTGGTGCCGATGAGTGTTGCCAATGTAGTGTCGCCCGGGCCGCAGGTGGAGTACATGATATCGGAAGCGACGAGCGCAGAGAACCTGTGCCTGATGTACGAGGGGTGGATGGCGTGGGTGTGAGGCCGGCGGCGGAGTCCCGGCCCCGCCCCGCGCCCCCCGCGCCCCCCGCGCCACTCGCCCGCGCCTGCGCCCTGCGGCCCGCGCGCCCGCGAGACCCACCACGCGCCACGCGCCACGCGGCCCACGCGACCCACGCGGCCCACGCGGCCCACGCGGCCTCGCACGCGTCCGACCGGCAGGCCGGCCGCCGCCCGCGTCGGCGTCTCACGACAGCAGGAAGTTACTGTAGCCCTTCGGTAATATTACTATTCATTTTTATTTTTCATTATTTTGTTTAAGGTCGTTGCGTTCGAGTTCAGGTCGGCCTGTTGTCCGCTAACCACGCCTTGCGTTTGACTCGTTTCCTCTTACATGAGTTACGAAATTGTAGCAAAAAAAAACAAAAGTGTATTTTGGAAATTATTTTAAACTATGCGAATAAAGTAAAATTATACAATTTAGTTGCAACAAAACAGGAGAGACAGCAGGCCATGGCGATTAGTGTTAGATTATAATTTACTTCTACGTAGAAGGCTTGTCTATATGTAGCTAATGTTCACACTACGTGCGGCCGCGACCACCCGCGGTGCGTCTAAAGCTCGCAGTGTCACCTCCATGCGACGCACCACCAGTGGGTGCCACAGGTGGTCCGATAAACTGTATTGTCGAAACTAGATATATGAATAACGACGCAACAATACTTACCACCTTATGTTTGCGTAAATCGTAATTATATGATAATAAAATTGTCATGTTCTAACATTTAATCATTTGGACATAAATTTAATAAATATTATATATATATATTTTTTTTTTCTCATATTAAAATCACTACTTCTCGATGTAGTCCAGGAGCTGTATCCATTTTTGACACAAATAAATTAATTTTGTAATTCATGTCATTTCAAACTGCAGCACTGCAGAATTTTACAAAAGTTCCGGAACTTATCATATATTATAATGTTTGTTCGCTTAAAAATATTTAAATGTAGTCTTGTAATTTGGATTTATCTCTTGTAAATTATGTGTAAAACTAAACGTATTGAAAACGCGTTTGAAAATTTAAATCAGTATGAAGCTGTGAGTGATCCAATATATTTCAAATGTGACGCCAATATATTATGCGTACCACTAAAATGTTCCACGTCGTCACCTCGGCTTTATCTATTTAAATATATCAACACGTAGTATATAATATAACAAATGCTATATAAATATAATAATAACGGTTAAAATGTTTTACAATCATTAAATATGTATTTTAAAGGCGCAGTCAGTATTGCTAGCGCCGAAGTAAGCCATAAAAAAGTATCTATTCTCGAATCTATTTAAAAGATTCCAATCTGTACATGTTTTTATTAAAAATTACCTATATACATTCTCCTTGTCTTATTTGTCTATTATTTATTATTTTCTATTTGTTTTTTTTTTATTATATGTATTCTTTTATTTCTTTTTTTTTTTACATATTGTTCTATATCTATTGTTGTTTGTGTTCTAAGTAATGCAAATAAATCATCTATCTTATCTATTATTAAATTTGCAATGTGCTGTGAAACGTTTTGAAATTATTACAGTTAATTCGCTTACAAACCTCATATACTGCTTACAAGAGATAAGTCCATCACATTATGTACCCACATTAATGTACCCCTCATGTGTGAATGTGTGTGTGTGTGTGTCTAAAACTAATACTTTATCGTCCCTAAGTGTTTGTATGAGTTTGACAGTGGATGTTTACGTGTATGGATAATTGTATGAACTGTATAAATTGTAAAATGAATTCCGATATATCATTCAAATACTTTCGATTTTACTTAATTTTTTTTTTTAAATTGATTCCACTAAAAAAGCTAAAAGAGTTAATTGAAAATCAAATTTCTTATTTTAATTAATGAGATTTATATATGTTTATAAAAATATATGTAATTTGTGATTGGAATATGAAAATACTACGTTTAAATAACAGTTTTCGATGTATGTATTATGTGACACATCGGAATTCATTACACTATGGTTCTGTAGCAATTTTGGCAAAAATTAATTTCAAGCTATTGCTATCAAGTCGTACACAGCGTAGCTAGGTGAAAGATGCATTAATGACCACGTTATTTCATAGAAAGGTAATCGATTTACTCATCAAACTTTCTTTAATTGAAAGCTTGTGTTTGGTTGATCAACTGACTTATTCCTTACAATTCGAAGCTACGCCGGTACAGATATATTTACGCTCTACTATTTTACTTTTTAAACCTAACAGATGTGCGGATAGTAAAAAATAGAATTAAAAATTTACCACAAATTTTATATTTAAAATTGAAAATCAGTAATGATATTGCCTTTAAGTTTCGTATAACTTAAAATGCCTAATGGCTTTATGAATGTCTGGTTAACAATTGTAATAAATTTGTTATTTGATATCAATAAAAATGTTTCCTATCGTATTATTTTACTATTCTAATATAATCTTCTTTTTTAATTTGGCTGCAATATGTTGCTAGTGCATTCACTGTCAGTATGTTTGTCTCATTTCATTCGTTGTAATAATAATAAATGGTGTATGTCAAACAAGGTTGTTTCATTTGAACTGAATACCTAGTTTTTTTTATGCATTTGAAAATATTAAATAAGTTTGAAACGTAGATAAAACTTTTAACACAGATAATATAATACTATATTAGTACAGATACATCACCTTGAACAAACAAGTGAAAAGCTCTAAGTCGGTTTATACTTCGGCTTAATTTTAGTTGTTCATATGTGCGCTAGATGCCGCTACTTTCTTAGCCGCTCGCCAGTACAAGCTAATAAATTAATTTACCGATGACTACTAATTGTGTAAGCAACTTATAGATGGCGTAAATCTCTTTTGGCGTTTGCTATGGTTGAGGAATGTTCTATCCATACATATAAATAATAATTACCTATCTATTTGAATCCTTTTAACGGTCTCGTCTTGCGTTTATACATATATAGTTCAGTAGATAAGTATTGCACGAGACTACGTAGGAGTTCAAATAGCTCGCTTTACATGAATCGTAATACGAATTACTTTACGTAACCCTCCGAATGTGTTAGGTTTTTTTTTATAAATAGATAAGTACTTAGTATACTCGTGTTATCATATCGTTCTGTATTTGTCATTGCTGAACTAATTTAGTTACTTTAATTCAATATGCTTTATGTATTCTTGCGTTCATTGCATGGAAATTTTGTGAGAGGTAAAGCGTTTTTGTGGAACAAATGTTAAAACTGTGTGAGAATGATGATGATGAAATCAGTCACTAACATTTAATGGAATAGTAACCTACTACCGTTTGCGTTGTTGGTATGTACTAGCAGAGTACTTACCAGTCAACGTATAATATACAAAGACAAAGTCAAATCAGATGGCTCATCATGATTAATTCACTAGGAATAAACCACGAAATAGTATACCCTGTCAATGTCGATCTTTTTTATTACCTAGATGTTATTGTAGGAAATTTTTAATAAATTCGTCACAATGAGGACGCTTAATTTTTAATAGACTTCAAAAAGAAGTAAGTTCTCAATTTGGATGTATTTTTTATGTCTGTTACTTCATAACTCCGTCAGTTTTAAACCGATTTGGAAAATTATTTCTTTTTCAGAAAGGATATACTGACACATTGGTGTCAAGGTGGCCATAGGAACTCCGTAATTAAACGACGCAACCCCATCGAGATTGGGCTCGTTTAACTCATCTTGACGAGTACTGATGTCTGAGTGTCCGAGTGTCTAGTGTTCGAGTGTCTAGTGTCCGAGTACCTAGTGTCCGAGTGTCTAATGTCAGAGTGTCTAATGTCAGAGTGTCTAATGTCAGAGTGTCTAATGTCAGAGTGTCTAGTGTCCAAGTCCAGTGTCCGAGTATCTAGTGTCTGAGTGTCTAGTGTCCGAGTGTCTGGTGTCTGAGTGTCTGGTGTCTGAGTGTCTCAATATCTGGTGACTAGTGTCCGAGTGTCTAGTGTCCGAGTGTCTAGTGTCCGAGTGTCTAGTGTCCGAGTGTCTAGTGTCCGAATATCTACACTCTACTCAGAGACTAGACACTTGGACACTAGACCCTCAGACACTAGACACTCGGATACTAGACACTCAGACACTCAGACACTCAGACACTAGATACTCGGACACTGGACTCTTGGACACTAGACACTCGGACATTAGACACTCAGACACTAGATACTAGATACTCGGACACTAGACACTCGGACACTAGACACTCGGACACTAGACACTCGGACACTAGACACTCGGACACTAGACACTCGGACACTAGACACTCAGATACCAGACACTCGGACACTAGACACTCGGACACTAGACACTCAGATACCAGACACTCGGACACTAGACACTCAGACACTAGATACTCGGACACTGGACTTGGACACTAGACACTCTGACATTAGACACTCTGACATTAGACACTCAGACACTAGACACTCGGACACTAGACACTCGGACACTAGACACTCGGACACTAGACACTCGGACACTAGACACTCGGACACTAGACACTCGGACACTAGACACTCGGATACTAGACACTCGGATACTAGACACTCGGATACTAGACACTCAGACAGTAGACACTTGGAAACTAGATACTTAGACACTAGACACTCGGACACTAGATACTAGATACTCTGACACTAGACACTCAGATACTAGACACTAGGCTCTCAGACACTAGATTCTCAGGCACTTGACACTCAGACATTAGACACTCGGACACTAGACACTCGGACACTAGACGCTCAAACACACAGTCTCTAAACACTCAGACATACAGACACTTGACACTCAGACACTTGAAACTCAGATACTAGACACTTAGTGTCACTCTGAATGTCAAGTGTCTACACTCTACTCAGAGACTAGACACTTGGACACTAGACCCTCAGACACTAGACACTCGGATACTAGACACTCAGACACTCAGACACTAGATACTCGGACACTGGACTCTTGGACACTAGACACTCGGACATTAGACACTCGGACACTAGACACTCGGACACTAGACACTCGGACACTAGACACTCATACACTAGACACTCGGACACTAGACACTCGGACACTAGACACTCGGACACTAGACACTCGGACACTAGACACTCGGACACTAGACACTCGGACACTAGACACTCGGACACTAGACACTCGACACTCGACACTAGACACTCAGACACTAGACACTCAGACACTAGACACTCGGACACTAGATACTCGGACACTAGATACTCGGACACTAGACACTCGGACACTAGACACTCGGACACTAGACACTCAGATACCAGACACTCAGATACCAGACACTCGGACACTAGACACTCAGACACTAGATACTCGGACACTGGACTTG